TACTATTGTCTCTGTTCATGGATTCTGCATTTATGCATATATGTTCTTTGGGTTAATCTCTTCCTGTCCCCTCCCACTTCCCACCCACCCCACCGATATTCTGTTCCATGCATCCACACCTCTGGACCTATTTTGTTCATCATTTTATTTTGTTCATTAAATTTCACATGTAAGTGAGATCATATGATATATGTCTTTCTCTAACTGGCTTATTTCACTTAGCATAATATTCTCTAGATACATCTATGCTGTCTCAAAAGGTAAGAGCTCCTTTTTTACAGCTGCATAGTATTCCATGGTATAAATGTACCACAGCTTTTTTATCCACTCATCTACTGATGGGCACTTGGGCTGTTTCCACATCTTAACTATTGTAAATAGTGCTGCTATGAACATAGGTGTGCATATATTCTTTCTAATTGGTGTTTGGGGATTCTTAGGCTATATTCCCAAAAGTGGGATCACTGGGTCAAATGGCAGTTCCATTTTTAATTAAAAAGAATTTTTTTATTTATTAAAATATATATATCTATCTTTATTGATTTCAGAGAGAGGAAGGGAGAGGGAACAGAGAGAAACATAAATGATGAGAGAGTCGTCATTGGTTGGCTGCCTCCTGCATGCACCCAACTGGGGATCAAGCCCACAACCCTGGCATGTGCCCTGACCGGGAATTTAACCACAATCTCCTGGATCCTAGGTCGATGCTCAACCACTGAGCCATGTCCAGTTGAGCCATTTTTAATTTTTTGAGGAACCTCCATATTGTTTTCCACAGTGGCTGTACCAGTCTGCATTCCCACCAGCATTGTACTAGGGTTCTCTTTTGTCTACATCCTTGCCAGTGTTTGTTTTTTAATTTGTTGATGGTAGCTATTCTGGCAGGTGTGAGGTGATACCTTATTGTAGTTTTCATTTGCATCTCTCTGATGATTAGTGACATTAAGCATTTTTTCATATGTCTATTGGCCATCTGTATGTCCTCTTTGGAGAAGTGTCTATTCAGGTTCTTTACCCACTTTTTAAGTGATTGTTTGTCTTCCTGGTGTCAAGTTGTATGAGTTCTTTGTATATTTTGGAAGTTAAGCCCTTACCAGATGTATCTGGCGAATATGTTTTCCCATACAGTAGGTTCCCTTTTCATTTTGTTGATGGTTTCTTCTGCTATGCAGAAGCTTTTTAGTTTGATGTAGTCCCATTTGTTAATTTTTCCTTTGTTCGCCTTGCCCTTGGCAATATATGGGGAAAATACAGCTACTTGAGGTGTCTGAGATTTTACTGCCTATGTTTTCTTCTAGGATTTTTATGGTTTCGTGACTTACATATAAGTCTTTTATCTATTTTGAGTTTATTCTTATGTATGGTGTAAGTTGGTGGTCCAGTTTCATTTTTGTGTGTGTACTTGTTCAATTTTCCCAGCACCATTTATTGAAGAGACTCTCTTTACTCTATTGTATGCTCTTGCCTTCATCCCTCACACTTTCCTCTCCTTTACAATTTCTCCCTCTGCTTCCAGTCATTCCTTTCTCTTCACCCTATCTCCAGAATGTCTCATTCCCTTTCTTACCATTCTCTCTTCACCCTCCTTCATGTCCTCATTACCTGTCTCCTGTCTGTTGTGGCAGCCTTCTGATCCACCTCCCTGCTGCTATTCTCATTTATTTATATATACCAGAATAATTTCTTAAAGTACAGATCTCACTGTACCATATCTCTGTGTTAAAAACAAGAAACTAAACATTCAGATCTTTATTTGATTTCTTGGCTTAAGGTTCAAGATACTCCAACTCACCCTTCAGGTCATTTCCTTACTACATACACACCTCCTTGGTTGCTATCCCTTCTTCCACACTCCTCTCTCCATTTCCATCTGGGAAGTTCTCCCTGTGTGTTGTAAGATGCAGATTAGATATCACTTTGTTTCCTTATTCCTTCTCTGCTTTCAGCTGGTTAGGATATTTTATCTTTTTGTGGGAGTTAGCATATACTGTCTTGAGATATAATTTTTGAGTCATATGTCTTTTCTCTTGTGGAATTATAACCTATCTCAGTATAGATGCTGGGTTTAATTCATCCTTACAGTGTCTGATAGCAGTGCCTTGCACATAGTAGGTGCTTAATATATGGCGCAAATGAAAGGAAGATGAGGGGTTTCCTGATAACTGGTGGGTTTCTCTCTCAGTCTTGGTGAAGGTCATTGTTCGGTGGGTGGAAACACTGTGGTGTGTTTTTTTTAAGTCAGACATCTTTTCTTTTTTGACCTGGCAGGAGAGGCAGAGCCTGTAGTTTCTGCCAATGAGTCCCAGTGTCTGTGTCTGTTAAGGGGCTCCAGCCAGTGCCTGCCTTACTAGATTCCGTGCCTTGGCCCCTCAGCCCCTCCCCACAAATGCTCAGCAGAACAGGGGATTAGGTTCTGGCAGCACAACTGGGATTTTGGCGGCCATTCCACAGTCGACAATAGCACGCAGCCACCCAGACAGGACAGTGCAGGCCTGCACTCCAGGCCCACAATCTGCCTGGGCTTCTTGTTTGGATGGCCGAGAGGGAGGAGTGCGGCATCCTGGCCTTGCCACACAGAAGGTATGGACTGAAGAGAGTCCCTCCAGGAATGGGCTTGGAGGGTGGCTATTGTCCCAGGTTAGGCGGTGCCCACAGAAGGAGGCAGGCGCTTTGTGTGTGAGCTCGGCGTGCGTGTGCTTAAAGACACGGCCCGCCCAGGAGCCAGCAGGAAGCTGCTCCCATTTAAAAGGGCCTGCATCTGGCTCACTCTCCGAAGCCTCTGTTCCCGGGTCTTCCTTCCTGTCCTGCTTGCCGTCGGGCAGTGGCTGATCTAATCATCAGGACAGCTCGTGGCCTGCCCTTCGTTGCTGGCCAGAGAGATGGACAAGCTGTCATTGCTGTTTTAAGAGAGTGAAGGGGGAGTGTCTGGGGGACATCAGGTTTGTCAGGCAGGCCACTGTGTTTTGTGTGTTTATGCCACCGTTTGCCTTGGCTCTTGCCACTGTTGCAATTCAGAGTTGTCTGCTGGCTGGTGCCTCCCCATGCGTCCTATTCTCTTGTTTGTGCGCCAAGCCTTCACGCCCCTCCTCTCTAGTGCGCCCCTCCCTCCTTGCCCAACTGCTACCCCTCCCCCCTTGCTGAGAGTTCCCTGCTTCTCCGAGGCTCCCAGATCCGGCTCCCTGATCGCGGAAGCTTGCTGTGCCTTTAAAGAAAGCAGACTCCTGGCTGTGACGCACTTCTGGCTGTCAGCCAGGAAGATCGCTCCTGCCAGGCTGAGAAGAAAACCAACAACTTTTCTTTTGTGTGTGGGGTTACTTTCCACTACCCCCCCTTCCTCCTCTCCTTTCAAGATTTAAATGCTAATGGCGGATTAAAACCTGTAAATACGTTTGCCTTTAGGAATCTGGTAAGGCCTTCCTGTACTGAGACTTTTTCTCCTCACTCTTTCTCGGGGGTTTTTGTTCAAACATGGACGTGGGGGTGCGGTGGAATCTCCCCCCTCACCTCTCTTTCCTGCGCCATCCTTAAAGGGGAGGGAGAGGAGAGGGAGAGCAAGTAAACACTCAGAAGCAGGCACTGGAAGCAGAGCTTGCCAACATCCGGGAGTTGGCGCCTTTCAGAGCAAAGGGTTGCTTTCTTTCCCCCTCGCATAGATGTCAGGGAGTTTTTGTTCAGAGTGGGGGAAAGCGTGTGTGCCTGCATGCTGAGCTGTAGAAACAGCTCGAGAGCTTCTCCATTCCCAAGTGAGGCCTGGGTGTGTACGCAGTGGTGGGGGATGAAAAAGGTTCCTTTTTCAGCTGGCAGGGACCAGAGTGTATGAATACAGCTGTGGGGGCAGGTGCTGATGAACTGCTGGACTGGGTGCGGGTATGCGTGCGTGCGTGCGTGTATGTGTGTGTGCGCGCGTGCAGTATATGCCGTAGGCACCAGGCCTGGTTTGATTGTAACCCTTTTGCCCACATCCTCCAGATCTGGACCCTATAGAGCATGGGGGGGAGGGAAGATACCAGTAGGCCACTTTTGAAGAAACCAGGGGAATCTTGGTTTCCCTTGCAGTCCCTCCCTAGTTCCTCATTAGGGCCTTGGAGCTCTGGACCAAATTCTAGGCTACTCAGAAGGGGTGCTGTGTGTGAAGAGGGGAGAGGCCTGAGCCCAGAGCATACATCCAGCAAGCTGGTTTGGCCCAACCTCAGGAGTGCAGAGAAACCCTTTGGACGTGGATGAGACAGCCTACTCAGGACTCCCCGGAAGTTGAAAGGATTGTGTTTTTCCCTCCTTGGCTTTTCTTGCAGCTGCTGGTCCTTGGGCCTTTTACCGCCAAGCTAGGGTACCCACCAGCAAGACATTTCCTATTCTGTTCTTTACATGAGTTAGCCTATGGTCACATAGTTTGGCTTTTGCTGGGCCTCTTTGGGGTAAACTACAAGGTGAGGTTTGGGTGCCTGATTGCCTGTGCCTCCTTACCTATCCCTCCCAGAGTCAGAGGAGTCCCAAGACCAGGGTGTTTACTCTTTAGATGTGGGCGCCTCCCAGATGGTGGGATGATCTTTTTTAGAAAGGTGTACAAAGCATGGAATTCTTATGGCTGCAGTCAGGCAGTCTATCAGGGCAAGTGGTGGTAAACCTTGTCATTGAGCATGGGCACACAGATGGGATAGCCATTGCCCGTATGAGCTGTGAGCCTGTGGGCCTTTGGAAACTTGGGGTGGAGCTGGGGCGGGGTTTGGGGAAGGACCTTTGAGATGGGACTTTGTGTGGGCTTTGCGCTCTAAAATTCTGGGATTGGGAGCTAGCACCTAAGAGAATGAGGGTTCACTGGAGGCATGAGCTGAGAGATCAGTACAGTTGTGCAGTTCTCTGGGACCAAAGGTCACTTTGGTGTTATCTTGAGGCCCGGCTGGTGTTCAGGCCAGGCAGTTAGTGACTAAGAGGCAGTCTCCAAAGTAGCTGGCACCCAGGCTGGGGGTGGGTAGGGTAAGGAGAGCAGTGCTGCCACAACTCAGACCCTCTGGCCTTTGGCCTATCATTGATTGGTCCTTGCATCTAAGCAGGTGGTTTACATTAGCTTCAGCCGTGGTAGGAAACTGTAGCTGAGTTTTAACTCTTTAAGACCCAGAGAGGGTGTGTGCCTCTTGAGTATCTACTTGTTCTGATATATCTTCTCTGGAAACATAGAGGGGTTACTGTAAATGTGGGGATTGGTCCTGAAGGTGAAGGAGTTTACATTGGGTCAGTTTTGCAAATGTAGAGAAGAGGCAAGGCCTTTAGTTTATAAGGCAACTGCTTCTGTGTCTTGATTTCTTCTTGAGCTCAGGGGAAAGAGCAGGCACCTTATTAGCTCTCTGAAGCCTCCGTTTTGGATTCTGGGGCTCTTCTTTGCAAAGAACCAGGGAGGTGAGAACTCTGAAGGTGCCCTCAGAGGGCCTACAATAGAGGTTTTCTTTTTTGTTTGTTTGTTGATTGGGGGTGACAGAGGATGCCTGATCGAGTTGGGGTAGATCTCAGGAGATCCTTCTGTGAAGTGGTTCCTGGCTACAATTGTGGGGATCTGTTTTTCCATCACCATCACCCAGTCTTCTGGGTGGGGCCTGCCTCAGATTTCAGGGGGAGGGTGGGGAGGATGGTGCTCTGGCTGGGAGCCCTCCAGTTCCAAGCCAAGGTCTGTTTAAAGCTGTAGTCTCAGTGCTGAGGACTAGCTATGCCACCAGCTTCAGTCATTCTTTACCCAAGAAGAGTGACTGGCTGGGCTGTCCCGAAGGTTCTCACCCCAGTGTCTTGTCTCTGATAGAGTGCCCTTTTGTGGGCCTTGAACTGACAAGGTCCTTCTGGAGTTCCTCTGGAGTATTGGATTCCTCCTGTTTCTGTGCCTGGGGAGCATAAAAGAACACATTTGGCCTTGGCACCAGTTTTCCTGAGCTGTGGAACTAGTTTTAGATAGACTCCCCTGGGAAGGCATAAGGGTTGTATGTTTTGCCTCTGAGATGAAGGGAAGAGGTTGGTTAAACCTCAGGTCATTTTTAGCAGCACAGCTGTGGAATCTCTCAGATGGGGCAAGATCTACCTCCGGTTGCAAATAAAATTTCTGTCTGAAGTTTGGGCCTCATCGAAAGGATAGCAAGTCTAGAGGCAGCAGTGAGGATGAGGGGGAGGTGATCTGGGCCTCATTTCCCTTGTTCCTAAATAGCTCAGACTTTTTTTTTAAAGAGGCATCAGTCAATCATTTGGCCATTGCCACCTTTACCACAAGGGCCAAGCATGGTCCCTCTAACTTTAGACTCGCCAATCACCAGAAAAGCCTTTTACAATGCAGTAATTTAGGCCATCTGCCTTTTTTTCATCCTTGCCTGGCCCCAGGGAGCTAGGCAGTTAGTGCTCAGGAATAGGCTATCCTGGGTGAAAACCATCCAAGACTGAGGAACACATAGGCCTCTTAGCTTCTCTGCCGTCCAGAGAGCTCCTTTAACCACTACGCTTGCTTATTGCCAAAGCCCAGGTGTGAATTCTCATTTCTAAGACTGACATTGGTATGATGGATGGAATCATGTTGGGTTTTGCAGGGTCAGGAAACAATTATAATTAGCATTCAGTTATTTTTATAACACTCTTATCCTGCTGTAAGCCCCTCAAAGGCAGGGACCATGTTATTGTCTCCCATTTCAGGTAATTTTGTTGTATATGCTCATCATAGCTTCCAGCACAGGATGAACACATGTAAGGATTAAAAAAATAACCCTTTTGATTGGTTTATAAACAGGGTGCACTTGCATAGAAAGGCTAAGAGATTTCTGTATATCCTTTCCCTAACTAGATAGTAAGCACTTTATGGATAAGAATGGTGTTTTCTTTTTTCTTTTTTTAAAATATTTTATTGATTTCACAAAGAGAGAGAGAGACATCAGTGATGAGAGAGAGTCATTGATCGGCTGGGGGTCGAGCCCACAACCCGGACATGTGCCCCAACTGGGATTGAACCGCAACCTCCTGGATCCTAGGTCGATGCTCAACCACTGAGCAACGCTGGTCGGGCAAGAATGGTGTTTTCTTATCCCCAACACTTTGCATACAGAAGGTACTTTTAGCAAATATTGGTTCCTCAGAACCCACACCTTGGAGATGCTAATATGGTGGGAAAGTTATAGGTGATGTGGCTCTTACCACTTTTGCTCTTCCTTGTAGAATAGTGACAAACTGAGCACCTCCAGCAGGAGGTGGGGGGAGGGGCTTTTTGCTCCCATGGAGATTTGGGAATTGTGGAGGCTGCTAGGAGGTGTTGGGGAATATTTAGTCACCCGGTCTATGGTCTCTTGGGCAGGTTGGCAAGTAGATGGCCAATTCCCAGTGGGAGGGAAAATTGGAGGTAAGAATACCAGGACAAGTCCCTAATCTTTTATTAAATGTCCTATGGGCTCTCTGTCAGAATTGACTTGGCTTTACTATATCTGACATTTCTGTGGGAGATATAAAAATTCAGAATTTAGAGAGGTTCCCCAAGGACTTGGTTATTATTGTTAGGCAAAATTTGGGTACCTGCAGAAAGAGCCAGAAATCAACCTTTCAAACCTAGGTCTGTCTGGAAAACCATGATTGCCCTACGTTTTAAGGGTACCATGTCTCAAAGAGCAGGATCGAAGGCCAGCTTTGAATGTCATTTTCTGTGGAACAGAAAGATTGTGTGGAACTTGTGGACATTGAATTAAATGCAGGATTCTTTATTGTCAGCTCTGATGCAATAAGTTTTATATTAATTTTGATGTATACTGTCAGCTCTCTAAAGATTCCCATGGTGCCTTGGTGGTGTGGATTAAGTGCCAGGTGAAGAGTGATTTATTTAAAGGTTCAAAGCCACCTGTAAATGGAACTGTTTCCCCCTCCTTCTTCATCACAGATATCAGATATAATTAACTGCTCTTCTTCTTCTCTTGGGTCCCAGGTGCATTGGGGTGACGGTCTGGTATCACCAAGATGACGCTCCATGCCACTCGAGTGGCTGCACTCCTTTCTTGGGTGAGTGGTCTTCCTCTCCTTTGCTAACCTTCCCCGGGAAGCTTGGGAGAATTTTCTGGGAGTCACAGCTATGGAAATATAGTTTTCCTTTGCCTTTCCCTTTAATTTTTAACTTTTATTATTTCTGATGATGTTGATGCTGACAGTGATCCATGACTCTACTTGTGTAGGTTAGAAGAGGCTGCCCTAAGGTATATATTCCCTTTCCATCATGGGAAGGGTTGCATGGAAATCCATCCTCATTTGCTCCCTGTGAATTTTTCTGACTAAAAGGGTTGGCACTGAACTTTGGTCTTCAAAAGCCTTTAATTGTAGGGCAAGGTTCTCCTTGCTCTTCTTTACCATATTTTGTCTGCTTCAATTATTTTCCTGTTGCCTTCTTGATTACTTTACCAAAATCTTTCTGCTAGGTATTTTCATGTGCTTTCTGCCCTAAACACTAGCAAATGAAAAAAATAACACTGAGCACTGGGAATTTAAAGCTACAGAGAAACCAAAGAAGCCATTGAGTATAATGATGACAAGAATGGGCTTTAGAGTCAGGCAGTCTGGTTTAGAATCTTTGTTTTGGCCTGTGTGACCTAGGGCAAGTTACTTAGCCTCTCAGCGCCTCATTTTAAAAATGGAAATAATAATAATAATACCACATGGGGTTACTATGAGGATATTGAGATAATGTGTATAAAAAACATTTTCTCTCTCTCTCTCTCTCTCTCTCTCTCTCACACACACACACACACACACACACACACACACACACACACACACACAACCATTTAGCCCAGTATCTGAATAAATAATTCCTGAAACCTAAAATATTGTCTGGGCATGCTGTTTGTTACAGGTTATTTTAGTAGTCACCCTGACAACTGATCAATTAGCCAGTTAAAGAGGCAACTTTAAAAGAAAAAGAATATTTTAAAGGAAATTATTTTATTTATTTATTTATTTATTTAAAAATATATCTTTATTGATTTCAGAGAGAGGAAGGGAGAGAGAGAGATAGAAATATCAATGATGAGAGAGCCATCATTGATCGGCTGCCTCCTGCACACCCCCGACTGGGGATTGAGGCCGCAACCTGGGCATGTGCCCTGACTGGGAATCAAACCACCATCTCCTGAATCCTAGGTCAGTGCTCAACCACTGAGCCACGCCCAGCTGGGCGAAATGAATTATTTTTAATTTCCAAGTAAGGTAGATTTAATAAGACAGTATCAAATATCTAGTCAGGAAATATATTTAATATACAAAACATGCATTCTTAGAGTTCAGTTTCTGAAATAGATACAAATTTTAGTTGTGCAGTTTAAATGGCTTTTAAAATATTTATATTTGATATATTTTGAATTTACATTACATTTCAATGTTTTATGTCTATATTAGAAACAATGTCTCTTCTTTCTCCTCCCTTCATCGCCCCGTCAAAAAAGCTGGTTGGGTTGTGGGGGACCATGAGCTATGTCTCTAGTGAATATTGGGGATCCTTTAGCCATATTGTTTTAGTTGATCAGTCTATAACTTTTATTTATTTAGGTCCTAGGTTTATTTTTATGGTTGACTGCTACTGTTACAGAGAAGAACAGTCACAAAACTAGTTTTATTTAACAGCAGATACTTGTATACTTTTCTCAAAAATCACCATGAACATGCATTAAAATGTTAAAATATATCACTGGCTGGTGTTGCTCAGTGGCAGAGTGTCAGCCCCCAAACCGAAGGTCCCAGGTTGGATTCCCAGTCAAGGGCACATACCTGGATTGCAGGTTCGATCCCCGCCCCGGTGGGGGGTGCTTGCCAGAGGCAACCAATCAGAGTGTCTCTCACGTGAATGGTTCTCTCTCTCCCTCCCTCCCCCCTCCCCCCATTCTGCTCTCTAAAAATCAATGGAAAAAATACCCTCGGGTGAGAATTAACAACAAAAAAATTAAAATATAGTTACATAGAATTTTTCAATTTAAACAAGTCAGGCAGCTAAAATGGATTTTATGACACTAGCAATATGAAATAATACTTATGTTAGTGAGAAGAGTGGTATAGAACACACACATACACACATGATAATTATAGCTGTGGTTTTTAAAAAATTATCTAGCACCCGGGCGGGCGTGGCTCAGCGGTTGAGCATCGACCTAGGATCCAGGAGATCAGGGTTCGATTCCAGTCAGGGCACATGCCCAGGTTGCGGGTTGCAGCTGATCAGTGACTCTCTCATCATTGATGTTTCTATCTCTCTCTCTCCCTCTCTTTCCCTCTCTCTGAAATCAATAAAGATATATTTAAATAAATAAATATAAATAAATGATCTAGGGAAAAAGACTAGAAAGAAATACATCAAAATACTGAAAGTGCATGTATTAAAATGCTTGAATGAGTGGAGTTTTTTGGTTTTCCAAATTTTCAGTAATTTATTTTATAATGTAAAAGTAAATTTATTTTATTTAACATGTAGCTTGAAATTAATCTATGCCAGCAATTATAATGAATAAGGTGTTATAGGGAATAGGGAACTTTAAGATTCGACAACTTTAAGCAACCCTGAAAGCCTAATAGACAGTTCTTGAGTTCTGCTGTGAGCTGGGCCCTTACTCATGTATTTTATATCCTGACTAGAGATGAAAGCTTCTCCACTTCCTCAGCCTTCCAATGATTTCTCATTTGAGACCAAAATAATGCACCAGAAGAAAATACATTTTTATATTCACGAAAGAAACTTGCTGAATTATTACTTAATTTGTAAGCGATGAATCCAGATTCCTTAAGTGACTTTAAATAGGCTAACTGATGTGATTTTTCATTCTTGTTAGCAAACAAACTTTCATATAGCCCTTGAATTTTTTACCTACATTGCAGGTATTAAAGGGATGGTTTTTGGATGCTTAAGTCTTGGCAGTTTCTTCATTTTTAGTATGTACAATGGCATCTTGGCCTGGAGTATTCACAATCTTCCTAGAAAATTTACACTAGCCTTTCCTGACTAGGTTAAGTTTTTTTTCAAAAGATGGTATTAATATATTATAGTCTTTAAGGCTTCAGTGAGAGGTCATATTTTATATTCCACACTTCAAAAAAACTTAACCTGTTTTAACTTAATCCATCTAGAAGTTGTTGTTTTTAAAGCTTCTTTTTTTTCCCTAAATCCTCACCTGAGGATATGTTTTTATTGATTTTAGAGAAAGAGGAAGGGAGAGGGAGAGAGAGAAACCAGTGTGAGAGAGAAACATGGATCGGTTGCTTCCCGGGGTCAAACCCTCAACCTAGGTATGTGCCCTGACCAGGAATCGATCCTGAGACCTTTGGATGTACGGGTCAAGTCTCCAACCAACTGAGTCACATGGGCCAGGGCTAGAAGTTGCTTTTAATATAGAAGTATTTAACCGAAATAAATACTACTATTACTGCAGCTAAATATTTTTTTTTTTTTTTTAGTCCTCTTGATTCTCCATTGCATGCATCTAATGCAAGTGCTAAGAAGTAGAAGTCTTCCTAGATCTACTTTATTATTTTAATTTTATTAACCATAATAGTGCTTTGCATTTCATGTGTTTATTTTATAATGTGTTCTTGCATCCATAATCCCATTTGAACCCACACTGGTCCTTTAAGGTAGATGAGGTAGGAATTATTACATCCACTTGGCAAGTGACAAAACAGGCACAGAGAAAAAGTTGATTGCAAAGGTTCCTGGCAAGTTAGTGGAGGAGATAGACCCAAAATCCTTGTCTGGGGGCTCCCAGCCCAGTACCTTTTAAAAAGCACTTTTATAAATAATAGAATCTACTCATTTGCATATAATCACTGTGCTGCAGTTCTTTAAAATACTTTACCTTGTTAAGGAGGCTAAGTCTCCCTCCTCCCTCAGTCTTGTACATGTGATTGATGACTTAGCAAATCCTTCCTTCCTAAGGTAATACAAAGGTAAACTTCAGCCTGGTGAACTTGGTGCCTATGAGATTCATGAGGATTTCCTGTAGAAGTTGACCATATATAATTGTTGAATAACCTCTGTACCTGATTCATTTGCATGTGACTGCTGGCAAATTTTCTAGAAGTAAAGACTGATTTAGATGGATGCCTGCCTAAAGGCAAAGAAGGGAAACGTGACTGAATCAGAATTAGTGAGTTGTTCTTTGTAGTTTTAAGTTTGTTTCCTTCCTCCTTTTTTTTTTTATTATCTTGTTCCCCTATCATTTCTCCCTCCTCCCTCAGAAAAAACTTTTATGCCTGGAAAGAATTTTAAACATGCATTAATAACAAGATTTTATGTCTGTGTGGGAGTGTATAAAATATATGTAATATAAGTTTCAAATAGGTATTTCAGAATTCAAGAGACACAAAGGGCTATATATAAAAATTTGGACTACAAAGGATCATACCATTTAAGAGATACAAAGGCTATAATATAAAAAGCCTTTCTTTTTCCCACCTCTGACTCCCAGCCATCAAATTCCTCTCTCTAGAGGCAGTGGTGGTACTAGTTCTTGTGTCCTAGAACCATTTTATGCCTAATTGTATTTAAATTATACCCCTAGTGCTAGAACATCCTAAGAGAATTTAAGCTCTTATTTAGTTGAAGCCAAAGGAAGGATGGATGGCAGCTTCAGGTGGCTGTCACTGGATGAGTGGGTGCAGCAGCATTCTTTTGCTGAAATTAAAAATCCTAGAATCATCTGTTCCTTTTCCTGTAAGTCTACAACTGTAGGCACTCACAATGAGCAAAGAATTAACATCTGGGGAAACGAATGAACTACAGTGCTCTGGCACTTATGACAGTTTCTCTGGGCTCTTTTGTTTGTCTCACAGGTGAATGGTCTGCATGTGGCTGACCCTGTGGAGGACTTGCTGCAGCTCCAGGACTGCAGCGTCTTCATCAAGATCATTGGTAGCATGTGAGTGTGCACCATGTCCCTCTCCAGCCTCTCAAGCGAAGCTACGTGCTGGAGTGGGGATTGCATTTGCTCCCTTCCCTTGGTGACTGCTGTGACCAGAAAGTGTGGACAGGATTAGGATGGCATAAGCCAAGTGTGGGGCCCAGAGGCAAAAATGCATTGACTTCATCCTCCAGTCACTGAGTTTCTCTATGGGAGAGGTTTCACTCTTGTCTTACCCTAAGGTTTCCTCACTCTTGTGCAGAAGAGCCTCCAAGTCTCTGTGTTCTCACAGTATTCCAATAGCCTGCTCTGGGGCTCCCCATCTTCTTATCTCGGTAGGAGTCTTCTACAACACTCCTTTTGTGACTCATCTTTATCTCACAAGCCCTCTTTGTAACCTGTAAGGACAAGAAGAAAGGGGAAGCTCTTGTACTTAAGGGAAATAAGCAGCATTTTAAAAATCTCGTCTCTAACTTGTTAGCACAGCACAGATATGCCCAAAGCCATTATAGCATTTCTGTTGGTGTTCACCTGCCTCATTTACTTGCTTTGTGAGGTTGATTAGCATTTGGTAAGCTGCTTGTTGTCCTCTAGCCAGGTTTCTAGTTTGGGCCTTTTTATGCCTGTGTCTTTAGCACATGTTTCCATTGAACATCGCAGGAATAGGGCCTCCTCCTCAACCAAGCAAATATGGGTCAAGCTATAACCCAATTATTAAGCTCACATAGTTCATCATTCTTCCTGTATCCTCAACTTTCAGGGATTATGGAGGACAAAACTGACTGTCTCTCACTTCTTCATGCTATGAGCAAAAGTAGAGGCCAGCCACAATTTAAGGACTTGGAGGTACAGTGATGGAGAGGAAAGCACAGTAGACTGAGCCCCTAGGCCAAGGATACACAGAAGTGTTGAGAGTGTTTGTGTGGCAGGTAGGAATTGGTGTCAGATTCAGCAACTTTGTGAGGCAATTTGGCCACCCATTCATAGACAGCAGCTCATTGACAGGGAAAGAAGATGGAACTGAGCTTGTGAAAGATAGGGACTAGGTCTGATTTTCTTGTGTCCTTTGTACCTAGCTTAGGACAATACATTGATTTTAATTAATGTTTGTTGAGTAAGTAAAGAGTGAATGAAAATGTAGTTGATATTCTCCATCAGCGAAGACTAGCGGGGCAGGGTAACCCAGGACAGATGGGTTTGCTAATGGTTTGATTTTTTTAAATCTTTTAAATGTATCTTATAAAATGTTTATTGGTAGTGGGATGTCTTTTAGGATTTCTTAGAAGTCTCTGTGGCTCTACCCAACACCTGCCTTAGTGCCTCTGAAAGAAACCACTATTATTTTGGTACAGACACTACCATTTTCTCTCCCACTAACCTGGGCATGACATTTCAACATCATCTTGAATTGTTTCCTCTCCTTGGCACTGATTTCTAATCAGTCACCATCCTCTCAGTCTGTCTGTTAGAAGACTTCTTACATCCCTTCCTCTGCTTCACTCTGGATACCAGCCCTTGTGATGTCATTCTTCTCTAACCTTCCCTTATTCCAGGACATTCCTATACATGTGGTCCTTCTTCCTTTCATTGTGAGGCTCCACAGCTGATGAGCCTCAGTGATGGACCGGTCATTGCCAGGAGTTTGAATTCTAAAATCTTTGGCTTTGGTATTCAAGAGCTTTCATCAGGGGCCTACCTCCTCCTACCAGTCTTGTTTCCTACTCCATACCCCAGCCACCACCACCCTTTTTTTGATCCTATAGAATTTCCAAAAATTTGGATTTTGTTAATTATATCACCATAGTGCTGCTTTACTTATTCTCTTCCCATTGTTGCCTGTAAATGGTAATTAGATCTGTTTGATTAGGTTAAGCTCTTTTAGGATATTTTTGCAAGACTACTTTATAGGTGGAGTTATGTACTAAGAGTTATGCATTTTGCAACTCTTAGTGAAAATAATTATTTTGCAAACCCTATTGAAATGATAGATTCTAGGCAACCAACATCAATGTCTGGTAAAAGCATTAGGCTGATAGTACCTAACCCACTGTTTAATTTTAACATAACTAAAAGAGAGGCAGCCAGGTATAATATGCCTCATGCTGTGACATACAGTAGGGTGTGGCATGCTTTTTTCTGATTTAAGAATATATCAAGGAGCTTTTGCTTTTGAGAAATTTCCTTGGACTGATGACAAGAGCAGTAGATGTATCCAGGGCTAAGGGTGCGTGCCTTTATTTAGGTTTGTAACTTGGTGGGAAATTTTCATAGGGAGGTCAAAAATTCAAGAGGCCCTCCTTCCAAATTGTCTTATAAGGTATTACCTAAGTTTTAGACTAGGAGAGAGGAGGAGGGGGATAGAGGGAGAGGAGAGGAGAAAGAGAGAGGGAGAGGGAGAGGGAGAGAGAGAGAGAGAGGGAGTGTGTGTGTGTGTGTGTGTGTGTGTGTGTGTGTGTGTGTTTAGAGGGAGGGGCTATTGAAATCACAGGTAACCCTAATCTCCATCTCAGGTCCAGGACAGTGTAGACCAACTTCCTTTAGGAAGACAGACATCCTTGGTGAATGTGTTCTGGCTGTTGAATTGTTGATGCTGCTACTGTTCCTTCCTAAATCAGATGCCTAGTCCTCGGGAAGGAAGTGGAGGATGGCAGGGTTGGTGGTAGATGGAAGCTATGAGATTGAACAGGGCTTGCTGCTTGACCACTTGGCCTCTCTGGGAAAATAATTGGAGTCAACCTCTGAGAAGTTTCTCTTTCTGTTCTTTGTGTGAATAGAAGCAAAAAGGCTGTCCCGTCTCTTTGATATCTTGTGACATAAATAGCAAAGTTTAGTGGAAGCATTTTGCCAGAAAACCTAAAGTCCTGACATTTGTTTTACTGACATTGACTTCTCCTCTTCCCAGTATAAAGCATCTCCCATCTCTCAGTCAGCACATATACTGAGCACCTGCTTTGTTCCTAGCTTTCAGCCTGCCTGTACAGTTAGAGTGTTTAGTTATAAATGATGCAGTTATATCCATGAGTGGGGTAGGAATTCCTGAGAAAGGATGGAGGTGTGACTAGCAGTGGTTCTAAATGGCTTCCTGCCAGAGATGAGACTTGTAATCTTGGGCTGGATTTCTTCAGGATCAGTATTTTCCAAAGCATGTTTCATGATTCTTCACTTATCCCAGGGGCTCAGTGGGAAGAAAAAAATGGTTTTGTGATTAAATACAATTAGGAAATAATTCATGTTATACCCTCTTATGCAGGAAATGTTTAGTTTGGTTTAACCTAGTATTTCTCAAACATTTAACTTGAGAACTCTATTTTTACCTAGTGGAATACACTAGGTAAATTATTGCTCTGTGCTGAGGCAAGGAGTCACAACATTCCAGATTGTAGGTGGTTAGGGAAGAGGGCTCTTGCAGGAGTCTCTGAGGAGATTAGCATCTCCTGAAGACTTTGTAGGCGGCCCTAATCACAGACCAGCTACCCAGAATGCTTTTGTAATCACATGGGAGACAGGGAGCTACTTTTATAGTCTTGGCTTGGATACATCTTGTGCTTTTCAAGATGTCTGGCACTGGAAGGTTCTGAGGCCTTTCCTGCCCTCCAGAAAGTTGGTTGAAACCTGGAGATTTATGTTCTGAGGAGCAAGATGCCCTTTAATCATAGAAGATTCTTCACCTCTGAAAATGAAACTGCAATTAGACCAATGCCCTGGAAGCCAGAGGCCTGGGCCATTTGAGAGCTCCCCCTGCTGCCTCCCTGCCCTCATTGCTCTCTTCGTACTTTGCTTGCCCTTCCAGTTAAACAAGCAGGGTGACAGCCACAGATCAAAAGTGATTGTCCCTTGGTCTGGCCTTTGGGAGGTTTTAGCTACCTCAGCCTTCAGCCTAGTGTGTGTTGAACTTTGCTCTGTATACTTCAGAACCTTGCTCTTTCCGCTTCTTTTAGTTCTTGAACCTGTTTTTCCTTTCCATCATCCTCTTCATGCTTATTCTACCCAGGTTTCCCAGGTGTCCTGACCTTTGACCTTTTATACTTGAGCCATTCCTGATTATTGAACTTAGCTTCCCATATATCTCTGATGCTTCCATCAATTTTTGACCCTCTTCTGACAGTGCTTTTTTTTATGTTTAGAAATACATTTATTCATACAGGGATCTATATATAAATCAATATTTATTTACTCTGTGCGTGTCCTTTCAGACATTTCCAACACTGGCTTCTTCCACACACGGAAGAGTCCAAAATAATCAGAATGTCACTCTTTAAAACCTCTATTTAATATCCTGACACTTTAATCCATTGTCTTCCAAAGATCTTTCTCCATGGAAATTATTGGATAATACTTAGGACTAAATTATGAGATGGTTACTGAAACAGTGATTAAAAATGTGCTTTTTTATATAGCCATGCGCTGCATAAATTATGTTTTGGTCAAAAACAGACCACATGTATGATGGTGGCACCATAAAATTATAATGGAGCTGAAAAATTCCTATTACAGTGATTTTCAATTGGTGTGCCACAGGAATTTTTAAAACATGCAATACCTGACTATTTAGTCAGGGCACTGACCTCTTTTCCCTTAGATTGTCAAATAAGAAATGACAACAGCCAACATAACAATAGCCATCTGATATGAATGAATCAAAATTATACCTATTTTTTTGTCAGATCAGCAAAATATATTTTTTGGTGTGCTGCAGAATTTTAGTAATTAGCTTATGTGTGCCATGAGATGAAAAAGGTTGAAAATTGCTGGCCTAGAGACATCATGGCCATTGTAACTCCATGTGGTGCAGTGCATTCCTCATGTGTTAGTGCTGATGCTGGTGCAAACAAACCAAGCTGCCAGTGGTGTGAACGTGTAGCACAGTTATGTACAGTACACAATATTTGATTGTAAACGCCTGTGTTACTGCTTTAGGTGTTTACTATTTATCCATAATTTCAGAGTATACTCGTTCTACTTATTAAAAAGTTTTTTATAAAACTGTGTGCCTTGTTACACTGTCAGCAGCCTCGTATAGCTTGTGTTTACCACCGTGTCTCTTGATTGCATCATTTTCTCTTGTGCTTGATTAAATCTTGTTATTTTGTACAGTGACATGCTGTACAAGCTTGTAGCCTAGGAGCAATAGGCTATACCATATAGCCTAGGTGTGTAATAGGCTGTACCATCTAGGTTTGTGTAAGTGCCCTCTATGATGTTTGCACAATGACAAAATCACCTAATGATGCATTTCTCAGGACACATTTCCCAGAATGTATCTTCATCGTTAAGTGGTGCATTACTGTATTCACAAGTGGGATGTCAGAGTGCTGTCTTTCCAGAGGGACCTCTTGCCTCAAGTTCCCACTTCCCACCCACCACACAGTTCCTTCTGAATAAATGGTGTCTTGGTATTTTCTTCAGGCTCTCTCTCAAATCCAATGCAGACCAAGCCTAAAGAAATGGGAAGGTAGTATGTAATGTAGTAGCAAGGAGGGAAGTATTGCTAAGTGCTCTGGTCCTAATACTTGCTCTTTTTCTAGCCACAGCACTGAGGAGGGGCAGCAAATCCTGCAGCAGCCAGTGCCAGAGAGACTGGACTTTGTGTGCAATTTTCTGCAGAGTAAGTACCTTTCTTATCTAGCTGGGAAGGAGCTGCTTCCTCAGTTCTTGGGACTTGGGAGTCCAGAGGAACCAGTTAATAGGTGTCTGGAGGAGCAAAGGCTCAAGGCTGTCCACTCTCTACCACGGAGATGAATACAGCCAGGTCAGCTTCCCTGGGTCTGGTGATGCTCACACTAGCTGGGGCAAGAAGGGTGTCCCTTCAGTTCCAGACCCCATCTTGGAGCTCTAGGTACAACCAGAGGGTCAGTTTTTAGGACTCATCACCTTGGGTTCCCATTTCCCTTCACATGGAGGAGAGGGAGGCATCTATGTTATTACCCTCTTTTCTTTGCAAGAAAAAATATTTTCCTCAGATAACTTTGAATTAATTGCTTAGGTGATAGGTACAGGAGCAGAGACAGATTTAAGTTGAGATCGTGGCCCTTCTACTCTGCTATGTGACCTGTCTGGACATAGATTCCCTGTCTATAAAATGGAGATAATAATAACTGTTCTAGGTTATGGGTAGATTAAATAAAATCACATGGAGAGCTTCTGGCATAGTGCTCATCAGTTCCCCTCCCTTGTACAGCTCTGACCACAGAGTCCTCATTTTAATACGGGAGGTCTCTGCCATCTCCACCTTCAAAGAATTAAAGGAAAGAGGAAAATGGATTTAGATACAGCAAGATAATAGTATCTGAGCTCAGACCCTCTGGCAGCATAAGAACCAGATATCCCCAGTCTTCCCCGTATGACTCAGCTGCAGGCTTCCTCTGTGACCTCAGTTGGAAAGAGACTCTAGAGTAACCTGGAATCTTTAGGCTCCTCTACAGGGCTGAGTGGGAATTTGTGCGTGGATGAGTGAGTGCAGTGTTATGTCCCAAAGCTGCTGTGAACCCAGCCTTTCTTTGGGAACTATCCCTATAGCCCTTGGACTGACCTAGGATAGAACTCACTTCAGATGGAAATGTATATGTTGGGGGGAGAGGACGTGGAGTAAGGAGCCCTCTGTCTTCTAGCCCCACCAGAGACAGTGATTCTCTTCTGACTCTGAGATGTTCTGATGATCTCAGGGATGGCCCCTAGGAAGTTCACCTGTTTTCTACATTGTCATTACAGAAAACCGAAAACATCCATCTACCCTGGAATGCCTGGTGTCAGTGCAGAAGGTGATAGAGGGGTCAGAACTGGAACTGGCCAAGGTAGCTATAGAAGACCAGACTGGGGGTGGGCGGGTGACATCGGAGGGACCTGCAGGGCCTTCTCTTAACCCAGGGGAAGTGGTGGGTGCTTATTTGGGGCTTGTGGATGTTTGAGGTAGGTTTTGATAGCTACCTGGATGAGGCAGAGGCTAATTTAGCCCAGAGATTCTAGGAGGCCATGCCATGTGACAGAGTTTACTAGACCATTACTGTAGGCCTCAATGGAGACCTGGCAGGAATCAGGCCTCACTCAGCTATTGTCATGTTTTTCTTTTTAGCTCAGTCTACTTCATTCTCTCTCTTGTCCAGGTGCTAGCCGAGAGAGTTCCATGAGTTCAGGTATTTAGCTGTGCAGAAGTCCTGGCACATAGCTTTTTGCAGATAGGCATTGAGTCCTCAAGTGTTTCCTAGTGCGGTTTAAGGACAGTGGTCTGGACTCCTGAATTCTAGGAGCTTTGGAAGGGTCTCCAGAATAGCTCAGAGTCCCCAGAATAGCCTTGGGGGATGGGTGGTGACAGGGTGGGCAGCAAGAAGAGAGACAGGCCCCACTCAGTGACTGCCTCCTGTTTGGCTTCTAGATAACCATGTTGCTCTTATACCAGTCCACCATGAGCTCCAAAAGTCCCAGGGACTGGGAACAATTTGAATATAAGATTCAGGTAAGCCCTTGTGCCTCCACTCCACCTAGCGAGCCTAGTCTGCATTTCACCTCACCCCATCTGTTTTCTTTAAGCAGCACATACTGTTCTTTTTAAAAATTGTTATAGTAGTTACAGCCATTCATTATAGAAGATCTGAAAAATATTGAAAAACACAAAGAAGGAAATAACAGTTGCTTATAATCCCATACCATTCCCAGACATAACTGCTAACTTTTAAAGGATATACTTCCAAGCTTTCTTCATGTATGTGTTCCCTGTATGTGTGTATATATTTTTTACACAAACTGTCACTCCATTTTTTCCTCTTTTCCTCTAGTAGAAATGATTAGTGAGAGAGAATGTCTTTGTCCACCATGACAGTCTAGCTCAGAGCGATTACCTCTTTTCCCCTCCTCTACATGGTCTGTAAGTGAAGAAGAGTTGGTGCATTTGCTTCATTATAGAGGGAATTGACCTGGTTTCCAGGAGCTGCCTGCCATATAGGTTCTGGTGTTGGCCTTGCTTCCTGCATGAGCAGCTGTTCTTTATTTCCCAGAGCAGAAGCAGTTGGGAGGCAGAGTGGATAATGTAGGTAACTGGTGGGGCAGTGTCTAGAGAGCTGTGGCCTTTCACGTAGTAGTAGAAATGTTGAATCATTCCATTTCATACTCGCTGAGCTCATGGCTTGTCTTGGGGTTGGGGTTAGGGTTGTAGTGTGGCATGGAAGGAATAGGTGGTTCCTTTCTCCCGTCAACCTTTTCTCTACCCCAGGCTGGTCATAGACCTGGTAGAAAGAAATAAGGAACTACAGCAGAGTTGACCAGGAAAATTAAATCAACTCTGTAGCTTTGGAATTCAGACAAAGAACGGAAGATTTTACAGCTGAGCTGAGCTGGTAGATAAGCTTTGGATGAGCCCCAGAGGTGTTCTCACCAAGACAGAAGAGCAGTGAGGGTCCGCTGAAAGAAGCCAACATAGTTATGTTAAAGTTTTCCAAGCATATTACTTTCCTTCCCTGTTCTCTTCTCTTGTGGTCAGGAGTGAAGTCAGTTAGAAATTCTGTCTGACCCTGGGTGCATCTTTAGAGGAGGAGAAGGGGCAGAGCAATGGGGTGAATACGTTTCTAGTAGAATGTCTTGGCTGGACCATGGGGCTCCAGGTCTTAGAGGAAGAATGGGCTCTAGCAGGCTCTTGAGGCTGACACCGTCAGGGTGGTGACCTCCATCCCTCCAGGTCTCCCTAACACCTAAGTGTTGCTTTCTCTCTGTGGCCTAGGCTGAGTTAGCCATCATTCTCAAATTTGTGCTGGACCATGAAGATGGACTCAACTTGAATGAAGACCTAGAGAACTTCTTGCAAAAAGGTAAATAGGGACCACTTGTGAGGATCCCCTCCTCTCTGCGCTGGGTACTGCTAGGGTCCTGAGTTGTTGAGAAGTGTAGTGGGGGGTTGTTTCTGTCTCCAAAACAGGACACAGAGTTGGCCCTCAGGAAAACTGTGTAATGGAATAGGTTGGTTTCTGGGCCCTGTTGCCATCATCCTAGTTCCTACAGAACTCCTAGCTGCCTGGCAGTAGCCAAGCAGGACTTTTTTTATAAGTGATCATGTCTGCTGTTAGGTTCTCCTTGGACCACCCCCCCCCCC